GTAGCCTATCCGTTAGAAATGTTTGGAGCTCCGAAGAGCGTACTCTTCGCCAGGGCCGCCGCCTCCCTTAGGTAGTGGGTGAGGCAGTCCAACCTCCCTGAATCCTCCCCAAAGGGATGCCACCGCCGGACCTCCGTGACGGGGCATCTCTGCGGCCAGTGCTCCAAATCTTGGGGCTCCTCGCTGCACAATGGACAGATTGGGTCCGATGTTTTGTCTATTCTATTCTTGTAAGCCCGTAGCCCAGAGAAAAGACCGGTCCTGATTTTTGCAGTAATGACTGATCACTGAGTGACTTAATTTGAGCCTCTCGTTTCCGTCCGCGTGTGAGATATCGGAGGGTCTTTTTGTTGTTGGTGGTGGTGGTGGCGACGTTATTTTTGTCGTTGTCGTTGTTGTTGTTGTTGTTGTTGTTGACGCTGTTGTACAGCAGCGCCAGCAGCAGCAGCAGCAGCAGCAGCAGCAAAACAGCGGCATCATCATCACCATCATCAACAACAGACCCACCAGCACCACTACTATTACCATCCTTCTCTTCCTACTCCTCCTCCTCCTCCTACCAGTCATCATCATCATCATCATCATCATCATCATCATCATCATCATCATCATCATCATCATCATCATCATCATCATCATCAACTCAACTGCATTCACCAGAGCTACCACTATAACCATGATCATCTTTACCATCCTCCTCATCATTATCACCAATATTTTTATCATCTTAAGTTCTCCCCCTCTCCCCTTCCCCTCCTCCTCTCACCAGGCCTCTTCCTCCCGGGTCTCTGTATGATCGGCCTCGCTTTCATGGACTGCACCCAGCAGGCGGCGGCTGTGGCTCTGCTGTGTGGCTGTGTCGGGTTGTCCGGCGTAGCGTTCGCCGGCTACATGATCAACCACGGCGACATAGCGCCGCAGTTCGCCGGCACACTGTTCGGGGTGACTAACGTGTCCGCGACAGTTCCTGGGATCCTGGCGCCGTACATTGTGGGCGCCATTACCCCCAATGTAAGTAATGCTGGTGATAATAGTATTGTAATATTAAACCTTGCCCTCATTACCAATATACGTGACCAACGCTCACAGTTATAGTAACTCTGAACCTTACACACACACTCTCTCTCTTTTTCTCTCTCTCTCCCCCCCCTCTCTCTCTCTCTCTCTCTCTCTCTCTTTCTCTCTCTTTCACTATCTCTCTCTTTCTCTCTCTCACTATCTATCTATCTATCTCTATCTATCTATCTATCTATCAATCATCTATCTATCTATCTATCTATCTATCT